GTGGGAACGACAGAAGGAATGCCAGGAATCCAGAACAAACAAGGGCAGTCTGCTAGCCAGGACGACTCCGGAACCTCGTAACGGAGCCAGAAAGGGAACGAAGTCCCAAACCTGAATTCGGACGGATCCATTTCCGAGGCATAATCCGGGTCACGCAGGAGGTAAGCTGCAAAGGCCGCTCGCACCACACCAGGTTGGATGCGATAAGCCAAAAACTCCGGAAGGACGGAACCGACGAACCCGGGGAAACACGGAACCGAACCCGGGGAGGGGCCGACACCAAATCCAACTCGTACGCAGAGAGGGGAAAAGAAAACCCCACTCCTTGTAACAATAAGCCCCGCTCAGAGGGAAGAAAAACCCAGGCGAGGTCCAGCGGGGCCCAAGGCCCCCAAGTCAGCCCCTCTTCAGCCTCGAGGTCCTTCACCACAGGACCCGAGGCTGAGTCCTCTCCCCAAGTCCCGACCCCACAAGACAAGGACGGAGCAGACGGAAAAGCTGGAGGAAGGGGTGCCCACTGGTCAGACCCAGAAGCTTCGGCCGGGAGACAAAACTCGAATGCCTCTGCCACCCCCTGGAAGGGGCACCCCCCGAAGCTGCCCGAGTCTCAAGATCAAGTAACCCCTGCTCCAACCCCAAAACCCTCAGACGTTACGGGGCCGGAAGCAGAGGGGGGCCAGAACGAACAGAAGGGGAAGGATGAGGAAGTGCGGACTGAACCAGGATCGAAGCGACCCCCACCTCCAAGTCCGGGTCTCGAAAAGCAAAGCGGGGCAGCCCCGGGGCATCTGGGTGAGCAACCAACCGAGCGCATTGCAACAGATGAAACCTAGACTGCAACGCACGTGCCGCCTGTACCCGAAGAGAATCATCAGAGGATTGGGTAAATTGAGTCACAAGCAAGCAGCAACACTCACAGGACTCAGGGTCGAAAGTATCACCGACCCAACAGGCAGCGTGGCAGAGGCAAAAACAATGAGGGGTCACCCTGAGACAAGGGGACCGAGCAACCCTCAAACTCGCACACAGCGAGTGGGGACTCCGGGGTCACATCCATCGGACCCACGTGCCCCCTAGGGGATTCCCAGGGTCCTGAGCGTTTACTTTAAGAGGACTCGTGCTCAGGTAGTCACAGGCAGGGTGCTGCAAACCGGCGCCCAAAACTACCAAGCAAACTTCTATAGCTGAACCCCAGGGGCGTGTACACTCACGGGAACCTAGCAGGGGGCGCCACTGAGGAGAACAGTGGAAGGGCAAAAACAAACTGAATAAAATGACAGAACCCCCCCACCAGGCAAAAAGAAAAAGAAAAACAAAACCCCGCAAGAGGACAGCGAACCCCCAAGGAACAGAGCCGGCGACTATGTCGGGAATACAAGCTGTGCAGCACCCTGCGCCCCTACCAATGCAAACTGCCTCTTACCTGCCGGTAACAAGGGAGAACAGAACACCCAAGAGCCCAACAGGCGGCCGAAAAACCGAAAGGTAAAACGGACTAGCAGAGGCAGACCCCGAGGAGCCTGTGGAAGGTGGCCCCAAGCCCCGAGGGCAGTAATTACAGGGCACCTAGGGAAGGCAGCCCTAGGCGCATGCAGCCCGAGTACTAAAGATAACTCCTGGCTCTCGCACCCACAAAACAAACACCACACGCAAAGCACAGTGCAGTAGCAACACCGGAGCCAGAGCACACGACCATCGCCTATAGCATCAGCCTCAAGAACTGAGGTATGGGCAGCCGGCGTGGAGGGTCTGGGGCTTCCCCTTCCCCTTCCCGGGGAGGGGGGAGCTGCGCAGACAGCGGCGCGGCGGCGTGTGACGCCACACTAGTTTGCTTGTTTTCGGTTGGGGAGTTCTATCCACTAGTTTGGCTTTTGATAGCAATTTTAACCAGAATAGAGGTTTGTTTTGAGGTGCTTACCTTTCTGGGTGCCTGTTCCAATCGATGGCAGACATAGAATGCTTCCAATCACACGGGGGTTTCTATAGGCCATTGCTCCCCTTGCCTCTCTGAGGGGGCCCGGTTCTGGCCGTGGTCCCCGGTAGGCCTAAGAACTCCATACACATGACTGATGCCAAAGTCTGACATTAGCATATCAGCCTGGGATAGCTCCGGGGAGCCGACGGGGCTCCCCACAGAAAAAGCTGATCTGATTTACTTTCCTAACAGATGATCTGAGTTTGCTTTCCCCAACAGAGCTGATTCTAGATTACTTTCCAAACTGAAGTGGTTGAGCACCATTCCTTACCCCGTCCCATCCCATATCCTTATCCTTTCCAAGTGCTATATAGTTGTAATGGCTTGGTGCTTTACTTTATAATTCCCTCCCTCTTAATACAGTTGATCTGAGTTTATTTTACCTATATGGTTGACATGAGTTTACAATGTTTCTGAACAGAGCTGATGAGAGGTTACTTTCCCAACAGAGCTGATGAGAGGTTACTTTCCCACAGAGCTAATGTGAGGTTACTTTCCCAACAGAGCTGATGAGAGGTTACTTTCCCAACAGAGCTAATGTGAGGTTACTTTCCCAAGAGAGCTGATGAGAGGTTACTTTCCCAACAGAGCTGATGTGAGGTTACTTTCCCAACAGAGCTGATGTGAGGTTACTTTCCCAACAGAGCTGATGTGAGGTTACTTTCCCAACAGAGCTGATGTGAGGTTACTTTCCCAACAGAGCTGATGTGAGGTTACTTTCCCAACAGAGCTGATGTGAGGTTACTTTCCCAACAGAGCTGATGTGAGGTTACTTTCCCAACAGAGCTGATGTGAGGTTACTTTCCCAACAGAGCTGATGTGAGGTTACTTTCCCAACAGAGCTGATGTGAGGTTACTTTCCCAACAGAGCTGATGTGAGGTTACTTTCCCAACAGAGCTGATGTGAGGTTACTTTCCCAACAGAGCTGATGTGAGGTTACTTTCCCAACAGAGCTGATGTGAGGTTACTTTCCCAACAGAGCTGATGTGAGGTTACTTTCCCAACAGAGCTGATGTGAGGTTACTTTCCCAACAGAGCTGATGTGAGGTTACTTTCCCAACAGAGCTGATGTGAGGTTACTTTCCCAACAGAGCTGATGTGAGGTTACTTTCCCAACAGAGCTGATGTGAGGTTACTTTCCCAACAGAACTGATGTGAGGTTACTTTCCCAGCACAGCTGATCTCAGTTCACTTTCCCATCAGAGCTGATCTCAGTTCACTTTCCCAGCAGAGCTGATGTCAGTTTACTTTCCCAGCAGAGCTGATGTCAGTTTACTTTCCCAGCAGAGCTGATGTCGGTTTACTTTCCCAGCAGAGCTGATGTCGGTTTACTTTCCCAGCAGAGCTGATGTCGGTTTACTTTCCCAGCAGAGCTGATGTCGGTTTACTTTCCCAGCAGAGCTGATGTCGGTTTACTTTCCCAGCAGAGCTGATGTCGGTTTACTTTCCCAGCAGAGCTGATGTCGGTTTACTTTCCCAGCACAGCTGATGTCGGTTTACTTTCCCAGCAGAGCTGATGTCGGTTTACTTTCCCAGCAGAGCTGATGTCGGTTTACTTTCCCAGCAGAGCTGATGTCGGTTTACTTTCCCAGCAGAGCTGATGTCAGTTTACTTTCCCAGCAGAGCTGATGTCAGTTTACTTTCCCAGCACAGCTGATGTCAGTTTACTTTCCCAGCACAGCTGATGTCAGTTTACTTTCCCAGCAGAGCTGATGTCAGTTTACTTTCCCAGCACAGCTGATGTCAGTTTACTTTCCCAGCACAGCTGATGTCAGTTTACTTTCCCAGCACAGCTGATGTCAGTTTACTTTCCCAGCACAGCTGATGTCAGTTTACTTTCCCAGCACAGCTGATGTCAGTTTACTTTCCCAGCACAGCTGATGTCAGTTTACTTTCCCAGCACAGCTGATGTCAGTTTACTTTCCCAGCACAGCTGATGTCAGTTTACTTTCCCAGCACAGCTGATGTCAGTTTACTTTCCCAGCACAGCTGATGTCAGTTTACTTTCCCAGCACAGCTGATGTCAGTTTACTTTCCCAGCACAGCTGATGTCAGTTTACTTTCCCAGCACAGCTGATGTCAGTTTACTTTCCCGGCACAGCTGATGTCAGTTTACTTTCCCGGCACAGCTGATGTCAGTTTACTTTCCCGGCACAGCTGATGTCAGTTTACTTTCCCGGCACAGCTGATGTCAGTTTACTTTCCCAGCACAGCTGATGTCAGTTTACTTTCCCAGCACAGCTGATCTCAGTTTACTTTCCCAGCACAGCTGATCTCAGTTTACTTTCCCAGCACAGCTGATCTCAGTTTACTTTCCCAGCACAGCTGATCTCAGTTTACTTTCCCAGCACAGCTGATCTCAGTTTACTTTCCCAGCACAGCTGATCTCAGTTTACTTTCCCAGCACAGCTGATCTCAGTTTACTTTCCCAGCACAGCTGATCTCAGTTTACTTTCCCAGCACAGCTGATCTCTGTTTACTTTCCCAGCACAGCTGATCTCTGTTTACTTTCCCAGCACAGCTGATCTCTGTTTACTTTCCCAGCACAGCTCATCTCTGTTTACTTTCCCAGCACAGCTGATCTCAGTTTACTTTCCAAACAGAGTTTATCTGAGTTTACTTTCACAACAAAGCTGATCTGAGTTTACCTTCCCAACAGAGCTAATACAATTAACTTTGCCAACACAGCTGGTCTGGTTTACCTTCACAACAGAGCTAATCTGAGTGTACTTTCTCAAACGAATTAATCTGATTTACTTTCTCAATGCAGCTGATCTGATTTACTTTCCCAACAGAGTTGATCCAAGTTTACTCTCCCAATGCAGAGCTGATCTGACCCATTTTTCTAATACAGCTGATGTGAGTTTACTTTGCAATACTGTACTGCTCTTGAGTATATTCTGCACTATCATACACATTTTGCATGCATTCCACATGATATTCTAGGAATATATGCACACTTAATAACCTGAAGAATAATTTGACCTTAGTGTGGGTGAACAGAAATATACAAATTCAACTTACCCATGATAATATGGCCGTAAACATCAGTTCGAGTGCAGAGGCAAATGTTTTAAGGATAGAATTTAAGTTTCTGAGGAAGAAACTTGTTACAATGCCAACTGCTGCATTATTAATAATAATCACTACAACAGCAAGCTGCCACACCTGCAAATATGAACAAGTTGTAATACCTGTAATAATTGATTACTAAAACATTAAGTTGAATATGAAAGCTATATTAGATGTTTAACAAGAATTAAAATTATTCTAATATGTCAATTAACACTTTAACATGGCGATGACACAGAAACGTGTCATCTTCCTTTTACAGGTAATTAACATTCCACATGACACTACAACATGTCATCCATCTCAAAATTCTCAAAAGTAACTTTATCTGGAGGCATTGAATGGTGGCTCGATTGAATGACAAAGCTAAAGGAAGGTTGATGGTCCACTCCATGGAAAGAGGAATGAAGCAAGAGGGACTATCAGCCAGGACGTTGGACACTCCCTAAACGTGAATGACATGGAGAGTCAAACCCTGAGAACTCAGCAGAAGAGCTACCCCAAGTGACCAGCTCTGAAGAGTCACAGACCCAAGAGACCCTTCCCCCAGTTGAGACATTGATCCATGAGGGAACAGTCCAAAAGGAGACGGATCACCAAGCCCCGAGTAATCTGAATCCTCTGCAGCTCCTGCCATAAAGCCACAAACTCCCAAAAAATGTTGTGAGCCTGACAAAAGAACGGGCACCAATGACCCTGGCTGGACCAGGGAGCTCTGGTTACAAAGCCCCAACCAACATCCGAAGCACCTGTAAAAACATCGAGGGAGGCAGAAGGAGCCATAGTACCAAACCCCCCAAAAGCCATAAGAAGATGCTGGTGATGCAACAGGCAGTAAAGTGACACCAGATTCAGGACCTGATTGTGAGAGCAGCAAAAGAGGCCACCCTGAAGAAACCAAAACAGCCTCCTGAGCCAAACCCTGCCAATCAGGAAAACCAGAAGGGGGAAGTGCACTCTCTCGCACAGCTGCTCAAGCATCCGCCAATTAACACTTTCGTCCGGGGGGTGACGCAATGCTGCGTCGTCAGTTTACTATTGGTAATCTCGGTGACGATGCAATGCTGCGTCATCCACTAAAATAATTGCCAAAAATCAGGTTTTTATCCAATTTTTTGGGGACTGTTTGGTAACTGTCAACAAGCCGAATGCAATCTGTGACTACAATACAAACATGAAAGGTGTTGATCACTTTGACCAAATGATCAAATATTATCACTTCACATGGAAAACTCACAAATGGACGAAGAAAATGACCTATTTTGTGGAAATGGCTATCTACAATGCTTATGTGATGTACAACTACTACACAAAAAATACTAAACTATAACACTAAATATACTAAAACACCAAATATACTAAAATACTAAATATACTAAAATACTAAATAAAATACTAAGAGCTCGAACTGGACTTCCCAGAGCCCCAGAAGCTTCAGGCAAATGCCCCGAGACAGAGCCCTCATTCATGCCCACTGCTTGGGAAAGGATAATGGAGTCCAAGAGAAAGGCCTCAAAAGAGGGATTTGACTGGGAAGGCTCAGAAGCCTCAGAAGAGTATAAATTACAAAGGCAATATTATAGGTGGGCCTACAACCTCTGATGGAGGCATACACTTGAACATTATCCCTTAACCCTCAGTACATTTAATCCTCTATGGCCTTACCCCAAACAACACAAAGTAGGTAATGGCTAGAATAGCATAACATAACATCAATAATATGAGATCGGTAGCCAGTAAATAATAAGTGGAAATATGAACTTCTCAAATAAATCTCAGACTTTCTTAGGCCATCTCCAGTCCGACGCACGTCCAAAGCTGCAATCCCTCCGACTTTCCAATGATGCCATGAGCAGTCAAAACTCCCATACTGTAAACTGTTCCCTGAACAAACATTAAACTACTGCCAATTTCTTAAGTATTTACCAAACATATGTTATATCCTTCTATCTGGCTCTTTCCTTAAATAAACTTCATACTAATTTTTCTTAAACCAGCTACAAGCTTACATCTCTTTAATTCATCATGTGGTTGGTAAGCATTTTTTATTCAATGGCTCCTGACTACTAACTTCACTGTATCTGTTTAGCACAAACTGTTGTTCCTCTTATCTTAGGACCACCTGGGTCATAACAGTGTCTGCCCAACCAGACCACCTCCAAAAGGGAAATAGAAGCCCGAGTGAACAACAGCTGATCTATAGGGTGGCAAGAAAAAGCTGTCAGAGACACAAACTGGGCAAAAACCTTGTCTGGAAAGAGGAGAGAAAAGGGGAGGCTGCCCTTTTTTCTGGGTAAGAGACCAAACCAAATATGTAGATAGGCCTGACATGGCCTGTCAACATATGAGGTGTGCCAGAAAAATGAAATGCTGCCACCACTCCTGAAGGAGAGGGGCTAGCATGTTGGGCAAGGCCACAAAGGCCAAACCCGCAGGTTGCATGGCCTCCGTCCCCAAAGTGGACCCCAGTGATGGCTAATCCTCACCGAGAAGCTCAAAGAGCCCCCTCCATGAGGACCCAGACATGCAAATTGTAGCCAGGTGCAAATGAAGCTGCCACTTGCCCACACCTTTGGAAACACAGGTAGCTCATGAGTGCAACAATCAAATCCCCAATCAGGAACACCTGCCAGATGGAGCTCACATCCCACCATATAAGCATGTGGGTTTGAGAATACCCAGTTTAGTTTAGTTTAGACAAGCCCTCGAGGAAAAGAGAGGCAAGGCCACAAAATTGAGGTGGTGAGTCGATAAAGGGCAGGGAGCGGGGACCTGGTGGTGGTAATTGGTACTAACGAGTTTCAAACTAGAATAAGTGAATTCCTTGTTCTGTATGAATCGTTTGCAGGGTTATTTAGCAGTTTTGAGGCTTTGTTTTTTTCTAAACCCTCTTGTTATCTGTAAAGCTTCACCGATTTTCTGGAGGATTCTTGTGGCAGGGTGGTCAACCTGTCCTCTTAAAAAGAACGTCGCTTTTGGCCGTTTGCCCGTATGGCCGAATTTGGACGTAATTTGAAATTGAAAAAAAAATTAAAATAAATGTGGGATTTTTTTTTTCACCAACAGTAAGTTAAGGGTCCTCTGATAGGTTAGGTGGGCAGGAAATTCTCATAAAGTTTCAAAACGTTATGAAAAACGTTAATGTAAAGTGTCCTCTCATAACGTCTGCGCGTAGGCGGGACGACTCAAATAGAAAACGGAACAGAACGTCACTTTTGTGAGTCGATTTCATTTCAAATTACGTCCAAATTTGGCCATATCGCGCATACGAGCCAAAAGTGACGTTCTTTTTAGGAGGACGGGTTGGGGTGGTAGACTGTCACCTGTTCCTTGTGACTGTGAGGGATGCCAGGTTCTGTCTGGCACTGGTCGGCCAAATAGAACTTCTGTGACTGATGTGACCCTTCAGTACCGTATGTAGCAATCTCAGCAAGATTGCTTATATTATATTAGTGTTATATTATATTGCTTATATTAGCAAGATATTCACTTCAGGGAGCTACTGGAGGGCTCCCTCCAGACAGGAAGATGAGATTGCACAGCTGTAATTGAGAAGATGGGGATGCATGGCTTAGCAAAGAAGCCACAGCAGTCAAAAATAGAAAAACAAAATTAATGTGAACTAACCTGAGTGAGGGATGCTGCAGTAAAGGCAGAAAATAACTCCCCTCTAAATAGGAGAATAACTGCATTGCAAATGATGGAGTCTATGTACATAAAGACATTTTGCACCATAATATGAACCTCAACACCTGTATCTTTCAGCAACTTCTCATTATAAACACCAGCAAGGCAGGAGCAGAACACCTGTAACAAGAAACTAAGTTTATATGTCAGTTTTCTGTAGTGTGTTGAGGCGAGTTACATATTTTTTAATTTAGAAAAAATCAGCATTGAATGTAATGAAATGCCAATTTCTGGAGTGAGCTCTGGTGGCTCCCTGAAGCTACTATCTCTGATAGTGTGCGACACTGCTAGGCCCTATTCGTCCCAGAGTTCTATCAGCCTACCAAGGACCAGAGCCAGAACCTGGCCCCTTCACAAAGGTGTAGAGTGGTGGCATTTATAGATTTTGTTATTCACTTATGCAACTCACCAGGAAAGGCACCCAGAAAGTCTGTGAAACCAAACCAAACACTGGTGGCTTCAAAGAAACCCACAGCTTTGAGAACTGCCTAAAGAACTCCCCATATAAACAAAATATAAAAAATTCACGAAACTAGCGCCAGCTCATATGCCCCACCATTCCCCTCGTTTATGGGAAAGGAAAGGAAGGCGGCTCACAGCTAGCCGTCTGCTCCGCTTCTCAGTTCTACGAAGATGCCAACACCCCCCCAACGACCTTGTAGGGAGGGATGGTGATGGTGCCACTGGGGCTCACCCAGAAATTGACATTTCATTACATTTAACGCTGGTTTTCTGGGGGACTTGTTGACCCCTGAAGCTAACTACCCATGGAGAAGAAAACAAATGGGCACTTAGGGAGGAGGGAGCACTGCAGACATTATGACGAAGTTGAGAGACTCATCTGCGACATACAACCCAACAATCCAAGAGGGGAGTGGGGAAACCACATTCAGCAATTCAGGAAAACCAGAGAACTGCAACACCCCCCACCTGCCACCCCATAGAAGCCACCGCCCACCGCTCAAGCCCTCCCTTCCCCCTACTCAATGCCTACTATACCACCCAAAACCTCCCTCCCCCCTCACCCCGAGTACTCCTTGCCTCCCCATTCCTTGGCTGTCCTCCTGCCCCAAGCAGGCCTAAGCAAGATCTAAGCCCTCAATCCCCACCCCAACTCCCCCCCAAACTGCTGATACCTACTCCACAGGACAACAAACCTACCCACATAGCCCTGCCCATGGAACCGCTTCCTACACCAGCAAGGAGTGTGTGTGATAATCGACACAGAAAAGTGAGCTTCAAGGCAATGTACTTAAACATCGATGGGATTACTGTGCATAGGGTTCAACCACTGCAAACCACCTCAGGTCCATCATCACCCAGCAAAAATCTGCTAGCAAAATAATAACAAATTCTGCTTTCAGACAACACTCAGCCCCCTTGCTTACCTCCCTAAACATGCTAAACATAATCTCACTCCACACATTCTCGTGTCAACTACATTTGCAAAACCGTGTTCTTAAATGCAAATCCTGCTCTGAATCTCTCCCCTGGACAGATGTAATAGGACCCATTATCACCACACTAAAAATAAATCTCTCTTTGATATCCCCAGAGTCAAACTTAATCTGTGCAAACACACTATGCAAATAAAGGGACCTAGTCTATGGAACTCATTCCCTAATGAATTGAAAAGCTGTCCATCTTTTGCATCATTCAAAAACAAAACTAAAAAGTACCTAATTTCATCTTCATAGTTTTCTACCTTGTTGCTTTAAAATTGCACTGTATCTAGTGCTACCCAATCTCCCTATCTTCATTTACCCAATCCAAACAATTTCACCATTGTGATCATTACTGTCTTCTTATATGTATTTATTTATTTATTTATGCATATACAAGAATGTACATTGGGAATGTGAGGATACATAATATGGTAATTACAGTCTTGTAAAGCCACTAGTACGGGCAGCGTTTCGGGCAGGTCCTTAACCTAAGAAAATTTTAAGGAGGTAAATACTTGCAAAATTTATAGACAAAAAAATGAAAACAGTTACATGGAATGAAAAATAGAAGATGAGAGAAAATTGTAGGTACAGTATATTAAAGCACATAGGTAGCTAAGATTGATTGCAATGACAGCTTGAATGGTAGTTGATAAAAATTGGTAGTCACAATACAGCATATGGCTAGCACATAAAAGAAGACAGCAATGAACACAATGATAAGGTTGTTTGATACTACATAAAAATTAGGAGATTGGGTAACACTAGGTACAGAGCAAATTTAAAGCTCAGTGTAGGAAACTAAGATGAAATTAGGTACTTTTTGGTTTTGCTTTTAAATAAGGCAAAAGTTTTACAGTTTTTCAATTCACTAGGGAGTGAGTTCCATAGACTAGGTCCCTTAATCTGCATAGAGTGTTTACACAGATTAAGCTTGACCCTGGGGATATCAAAGAGATTTATTTCTGGTGTGGTGATAATGGGTCCTATTACATCTGTCCAGGGAGAGTTTCAGAGCATGGTTTGCATTTAAGAACAGGGTTTTGTAAATGTAGTTGACACAAGAGAATGTGTGGAGGGAGTTAATATTTAGCAAGTTTAGGGATTTAAACAAAGGAGCCGAGTGTTGTCTGAAAGCAGAGTTAGTTATTATTCTGATAGCAGATTTTTGCTGTGTGATGATGGGCTTAAGGTGGTTTGCAGTGGTAGACCCCCATGCACAGATACCATAATTAAGATAGGGGTAGATCAGTGCATAATATAGTGAGAGGAGAGCAGAGTTAGGAACATAATATCTGATTTTGGAGAGTATACCAACTGTCTTAGAGACTTTCATTGTTATGTGTTGAATGTGGGTGCTGAAGTTGAGTCTCTTGTCTAGGAATAGGCCAAGAAACTTGCCATCATTTTTATTACTGATGTTAATGTTGTCTATCTGTAGCTGAATTGCATTTGATGATTTGCTTCCAAATAAGATGTAGTAAGTCTTTTCGATGTTTAATGTTAGTTTGTTCGTTGACATCCATAAGTGGACTTTTTTTAATTCATTATTCACAACATTATTTAGTGTATGTGGGTTGAGGTCTGAATAGATAAGGGCAGTATCGTCAGCAAACAATATAGGTTTGAGAATATTAGAGACATTAGGTAGATCGTTTATATATATATAAGAAATAGAAGAGGTCCTAAGATACTGCCCTGTGGCACTCCAACGGTAATTGGTAGAGTGGAAGAAGTTGTATCATTGATGGTTACATATTGGTGTCTGTCACTAAGATAGGATCGGATGTAGTCAAGGGCAAGGCCACGGATTCCATAATGCTGGAGTTTAAGTAAGAGGTAGTTGTGAAATGTACTTTCAATTTGCTGTAGGGTGCCTCTTAATCTTCGTTTAAATTACCAATCAAGCTGTCAATGCAATCAATCAGAGCTTTAATATACCAATGTGCTTTAATATACCTACTAATCTCTGTCATCTCATTTTTTTCTTTCTTGCAAAGTTATTTTATTTATTTCACTAGAATTTACCTACTTAACACTTTCGCACTTTAGATTAGACATAGCTCGTCACCGTTTTTTCTTACGATTCCGCATAACAGACTACGCCTGTAGTCCATCGAAAAAATATTTCTATAAATTCCATTTTCTAACCGAAATGTATGGGGATACTCTCAGATTTTTCTCCATGAAATTCCTGTTCTCCCTCACCGAAAATTTTCAGAAAAATTTGAATCTGCATATATCCCCAAAAAAGAATTGAGTCTCGATGAGGGTACAATGGGATGGCGCGGCCGCCTCTCTTTCAAGGTCTACAATCCCAACAAGCCTGATAAATATGGTGTAAAATTTTATATGTTGGCCAAAGGGAAATCAGGCTACATATATAAATATGATGTGTATTGTGGAATTGGAAAAACGACAGTGGAAACCGTGATGGGGTTGATGGTGCCCCTAGTCAACAAGGGTTATCATTTGTATATGGATAACTACTATAACTCGGTAAGCCTAACAGAACAATTACGTGAAGTGGTTATATTTAAGTTATATTATATACGTTTTGTAGAGAATTTATTTGCGAATTGTTTGGTACCAGAATGAATATTATATCACATAAACTTCTATGAGTAAAAAAAAAAAAACACAAAGTATGTTTGGGGGTGTGGCGGGTGTAGCTCTGGGTGTGGCGGGCATGTGGCAGTGGGTTCCCTTTAGCCGTTGATATATCCAACACGTGGGAAATATTTGTATGTGTTATGTATATGTCTGTGTAGGCAATTTTACTGCGATCACTGTCATACAAATTATAAAATGTTTCAACAAGAATAAACATGACAAACATCAAACGAACGAAAACAATGCGTTCGTTTCTGCCGCGAACGCATACTGAGCGACGTGGTTCTATATTTGGCGCTTCTCTTACACATGCTTTGTACAATTGTTATACATTTCATCTTATAGAAAATTTTATTGTGAACACATTGGTATAAAAAAGAAATACGTACATAGAAAAGTAGGGTCAGGAAACGTATAAATGTATAAACTTTCCAAGCATGATTTCCCCCCTGTGTTTTCGCAAAAAACCAGCGTTGAATGTAATGAAAAGCCATTTTCTGGGTGAGCCCCGGAGGCTCCCTGGAGCTTATCGGGATAAAGTTTGTTATATTAGACCAGGACATTAGCTAAGAAGTTCAGACCCACCAGGGACCAGCGCCAGAACTTGGCCCCTTCAGAGAGGTTTCAGGGAGCAATGGTCCTGGAAAACTTGTGGTTGGGGTTTTCCTTATCTGCCATCGACCGGGGTTAGGCACCCAGAAAGGTAGGCATAACAAAACAAACCCCACATGGTAAAAAAGAAAAACAAAAAACTGAACAGAGAGGTAGAAACTCCCTACATTCCCAAGGAAACAAGCAAACATCACACTTTACTGCCGCGCCGATCGTCCGCGCAGCCCTCCCCGCCCCGAGAGGGGGAGGGGGGAGCCCCGGACCTCACCACGCCGGCTGCCTAGCATCAGTTCGGAAGCTAAGCTTCAACCAACGCGAAAAAAACGCCGACCGGTGGGAGGGAGGGTTGCCAGGGAGCCTCCGGGGCTCACCCAGAAAATGGCGTTTCATTACATTCAACGCTGGTTTTCTGTGGGGAGCCCCTACGGCTCCCTGGAGCTTCATACCCAA